CTCCTCGCTCGCGTCACAGCTCAGTGACCCTCGGAGTCGGTGTAGGCCACCATCAGAGGCGTTAAGGTCGGGGCCCTGATCATTGACATGAAACCATTCCCTGTTTTTAATTAATAAAATCAATTCCTTTTTTTTGTTGGAATGGTGAGTGTGGGAGGCCTTTCAAAAAAAAAAAAAAAGTATAGCTAACGAAACTTTCGTATAAGTATACCAGCTAGGAGGAGATGATTAGAGACAAAATAGACAAACGATTACGATTAAGATTATATAAATATAATCGATTACGATATATAAAACGATTACGAAATCCCTAACCCATCGGCCAATTGCAACTCATCTGCAAATCTAATCTTGTTTATAGATAAGCTAACTCATATCAAAAGCTGAGTTGATCGAGGGTGAGAAGGCAGTCGCAGAATTCACGAGACACGATGCCATCAGCCTACGCTCGACACTCAAAGCAAGATGACATCACTACAGCAACATACGAGGTATACGTTTACTTACATGGAAGTACGCGGTTAGAACTTAACGGAAAAGCTTCGTTTCCACCAAAAAATTGATAAATTTGGTTAAAAATACCAATGGATACGATTGCTTGGAAAGCCTCGGCGCTCACGACCGGGCTCAAAAGACTAAAAATAACTAATTAAAATAAAAAGATGTCGCTTTAATAACGTTTTTCAATCAAATGATTCCCAATAAATTTGGAGAATCAATTATTTCCAAGTTTTATATTTTCGATAAAGAAAGAAAAGCAGCTCAACTGCTAAGTTTCACCTACGTACCAAAGATTCATAGAAAAGAGATCCAAAAAATCTTCTGCAAGATAGTACAGCGAGATCATCAAATTGCCATGCATGTACTCGGGCCTTGCAGGGAAGAAGAGGTTAATTAAGGAGCAAAGTGAACATAACATGAATAATACGGTCAATTTAAGAATAAATGGCAGTGCAATACTTAGTGAAAAAAATATGGTGAAAGTGGGCAACTCGCGACACAACAATGAAAGAGGCGGCAGTGAGAGGGTACAAATAATCTGAACGAGTCTGAGAGGGAGGTGAAGGGCAGCTCACAACACAGTGAAGGAGGGGCTGTGAGAGGGCATGTGAGGGCAGCTCACAACACAAAGATGGTGGAGGCAGTGAGAGGGTCACGTGGCGCCAGCGAGGGAAGGCTATTCTCAGCAGACGAGGGTGCAGCTAGAGAGGGCAACAGGCAAGCGTTCCTCACAGCACGTGCTGCGCGCTGCACCCAACGTCAGTTTTTAACCGAATTTATCCCAGCGTGAGTACCACACTGGCTAGCACATGCTACAGGAGCACCATACGGACGTGTACACGCGCCGTATTAATGTAAACTGATACACACGTTATACGAGGAATGTGCTGCGCGCTACACGCCCGTCTGCAGTCGCCCAACTAACCTTCGCTCAGCTGCTTACGTGATGTTTGTACGACCCACATGCGCTTGCTCGATGCAAAGCAACAAGGAAATTTAATTATAATAAATAGATAATTATACGAATAAAAATTGTGCTTATTTTGCGATATCAGGAAGAAGATTAAGGCAGTTAATACGAAACACTTCCATACCTGCTCTATATAGCAAAACCAAAACAACTACTTTCATAATCTCTTTCTAAACCATAATTATTGACAAATAACGTCCCGTCTTCTGTCACCCTCGTCATCAACAATGTACTATAATTTCAAATTCACAAGACATATTTTCTACCCTCACAAGAGTATAGAACTCACTAAAGTCGTAGTCGTGAATCAAACCATTTCCATCGCAGTTTATTTCAAAGTAATATAATGGCACGGTAACCATAAATTACACGTAATGTTCTGTATTGTGCATACAAACCTGCCGGATCTTCCAAGCTAACAATATCTGCAGTAAGCGGACCCAATGACCCCAAAATTGCAGTTGCCCGGATAATTGTAATATAAAGCCCTCCTTCCCTCCCCTCCCTCCCCCATGTATCGGAAAGAACAGCAGCAAAAAAAAATGGCTTTAGCATTTCCGGGTCTTTCGACCAGCGCTGTTTGCCCCTGAGTGGAGGAGCACGTAAGCATTGTCAAAATCATGGTCCATGTCATGATTAATAAGTAATAATAGCAATAAATTTATTTAATTCCAAGCAATTAATTTCATAATTATAGCTCGGTTTGCAGTTGAGTAGGGCGAGCGATGAGGCAGATTAGAACATATAAGTGACATAGCATAGCTGTAAGAACATAGATATATTACGGTGAGGTTGAAAATCACGCATGTATATAACAGAAAATGCATCACCGCTATAGTGACATGAACAGGGATTAACAATTACTTTTTTTATCGTCAGAATGATAAATTTGCTGACAATCTGGTCCCCAAAAAGGAAATTACTTAGAGCGTGCTAACAAAAAACAATTACACAATTCAAAGTATTAAGAATTATTAGGAAATACTGAGAAAAAACTATGAATTATCGCGATATTTGACCGGTAAAAGGTGATGGTTTCATGTATTACTAGTAAATGACAACTGATAGTGCAACCTGGAATGTATTATACAAGGCGTCAACGTTCATAATTCCTAACTATAACAACAAGTAGAACTAAACTAACCACCAACACGGACAACTTCTTACACCGCCGTCATTCTTAATGTTTTTCCGTTGAACGTGAACGGTTTGTATCGTCCTGTCCAACGCGTTCCCACTGAACGCGAGCGGTCTATAGTGTCTTGCCCAACTTATTCGCTGAACGTGAACGGTCTATACCGTCCTGCTCAACGCGTTCCCGCTGAACGCGAACAGTCCAAATCGGGCACGTCGCATGGCCACGCCTCGCAGTTACCTGCAACTTTCAGGAGTAAGCGCGCTACCTTAACACCATGCACTCACAAAATGTAATGGGACTTCTTGTCAAAATAGTGACACTTTCTTACCCATGGCACAAGCAGAGAGATGGCATAGCCCCTGAACGCTAAATTGCTGTGCCAAACTTTGTCAGACTGACCCAACAAATTAGGTCGAGAAATGCATGGCCATATGGACAACATGTCTGTCTATTCCTCTCCCTGAGCAGCAGTGTAGTGTCTAAATATATATATTATTATGTAATGTCTAAATATATATATATATATATATATATATAATCATGTAGTGTTCAAATATAAGTGTAGGCTGGCAGAAAATCTTCTCTTAAGCAAGTTTTGTTAAAGACCAGAGAATTAGTTTTATTTATTAGCTTCTTGTTAGTTTTTGTTCAAATATACAGCATGATTTTCATAACTTGACTGTTGGATATCATTCCAAGCATTTCCTGACATCACCCTATGAGTTTAATATGCCCTTACAGTTCTCTAATTGCCGTCATAAAAACCAAAGCACTAACTGGCAAGCATTAAATTTTTATAAACTTTTGCCATAAAAATCCCGCTTTTCATATCTGTTCAGAAAACATGAAACCATTCATCTATAATTTGCACTTAATTCTTGAGGAATTGTGATTCATAGCGAAACATCCAATTCATGACATAGCGCACGGAAATATTATCAATAACTCAAAAAACAACCTAACTATATACCAGGCAAGCTACGAAAAATATGTTTTTAAGTGCTGCTTCATTCTTCATACAATGAAGTATTGCTAATTGTGAGATTTATCTATAAAGAACTCGCCATTAAACGCAGAAATGTTTTCAGTTTGTAATATTTGCGACAGTGAACGATTTGCAGCCGACATGCATGCAGACACAAATCGACCCGCAATATATAGAAACTGTGCTTGTGAAGGGACCTCACAGCTGGCACAACCAGCTGCATGAAATACTGATTGCAATGACACAATTACTGTACGAAGCATTGTATGCAAGACAAAATCGCACACCAAGACCAGAGGTTTGACGTCTACAAGGATAGAACGACGTGCGAAAGCATCATTGAATGTGAGAGAAAAGATGGCACGAGAATAACTTATGACAACATAACGTGAGCATAACGACATGCACGGCCGATAAAGGCACAAAGAAAATACCAATCATTCTACACATATTTCAGGTGGTCTTATGTGCAAGCTCTATACAGGCAGAGCGCTCGGACATCACACAAATTATGGAACATACGAGGAAAAAAACTATTTGGAGCTTAAATAAAATACCTTACTCAAGTATTTGAATTTTCTTCACTAAGAATGAATTCGTTTGCAATTTAACAAAAAATAACACGTCTCGTATCATCTACTGCACTTATTACTGAGTGAACAGCTTTTTCTCATCTGATTGCCTTGACAGCTCATCAATTAAAGTAACTGAACATTGAGTGGGTGCAGGAAAATAATTTGTGTAAAATAAATAGTGTTCATATCTCACACCGGGTGCATCTGAACGACACGATTTGAAACTAAGAACAGGAGTAGTTATAGTGATACAATACCAAATCATTCGAGCCCAGGGAAGAACAATATGAATATTTAAACCGCTGGTATTAGTCAAGGCTAGTACAGTAATCATTGCTTAATTACCAAAGTCTTCATAACACTTCACTAGACAATACTAGGGAGGGAAAGTCACAAAAATAGAGAACAGCAGGCAACAGGAGCAAACGTGTAGCATAGTCACGAAAAGCGATACACAATGCAAGCAAAGTTCAACCCTCTACCGCTCAAATGAACGCAGTCGTGCTTCTAAAATAAGCGCATTCCTACCTCAACTGCTACTTTATTTGGGCGGTTAAGGGTTATTTAGATGAGTATGACTGACCGTCTGTATCCGCTGGAGTGGCAGCTAGAGAGAGGGGAAGAGATAAACAACATCAGACAATGAAGCTTTATGTCCTAATTAACTACCCATGTTCACCTTAAATTAGAATTCCCGCGACTGAAATTTTATTCAGGGTTGCAGCCAAAATATTTCGATGTTTTGAACTCCACACAAAAAAAATTATATCGTTAGTTTCGACTTCTAAGTATGCGTGCCGAGAAGTTGACTAAAATTACTGCTATGAAAAACTAAGACAGACGAGAGAATTACTAGGTTAATATATTTAAATCTAAGGTTTAAAGTACTTACCAAACTGCTGGCCAGCTTCAAGTAAAAAGTTTCTACTTCAATTAAAAAACACAAATATTCACAGCCCCACTGAAGTAAAAGTGAGCTAAAAAGCAACTTTACAGCCACTACTCAGAATATATTTCCTACTACAATCTCCAACTTAAGACTAACTCCACGGACAGAACGAAATGTCTTTAGATAAAATCATTAAAACATAAACCGTATCTTGGACACATACGTCGAAGACACATGAAGCAACAATAGACTTGCTCACATTTCTTGTTCATTATTCGAGCGTTCAGTTCGGATTACATGTGCTGATGATATAAGAAACCGTAATTTTAAGACTTATTATTAGATATTAGAAACATTTTAATGATGGAATATGTAGAGATGAGAGTACACGCTTGCAAGCATGACGGCAGCTCATGGCAGTCAGAGCGCTTCTCCTTGTATAAGAATGAGGCAAGACAGCGGAAATCCGTCACTGCCTTAAAAGTCTTCCTTCATGGCAGCGCTCAAGCACACGTGTCATCATCGCGCAGGGTACAGTACTGTGCCTGCGCCATGATGCATCACGAGATGCTCGATGATGCATCACGAGATGCTCGGTGATGCATCACGAGATGCGCGATGATGCATCACGAGATGCGCGATGATGCATCACGAGATGCTCGATGATGCATCACGAGATGCTGGATGATGCATCACGAGATGCTGGATGATGCATCACGAGATGCGCGATGATGCATCACGAGATGCGCGATGATGCATCACGAGATGCTCGATGATGCATCACGAGATGCTCGATGATGCATCACGAGATGCCTAATCTGAAATATTGCTTTCTGACTGGCTCTACATTAGCTCAAATCTTAGCTTCCACAAAAAGAATTCTCGCGTAAGGCTCACTAACGATTAAAAGCCCCGCACTAAATATACGTGGCAAATGTTGCTTGTTCCAGGTGTCTTTGATCAAAAAGGAGATGTGTAATGTGATCTGGGAAAATGACATTTCTCCTGGGATTGAACGTAAGAATCTATATCGAGATGCATATTAGAGTTTTATTTATTCGGATATTAGAGAGGCGTGAAGGTTTCCCCTGCCATCCCGCCAGGTCGCATGGGTTCCCACACACGATGACCGAGAAGTTAGGCAAGAGGTGCGAGGGAGCAGCTCGAGCAGCAGCAACAGCAGCTGCAGCAGCAGCAGCAACAACAACAATAGCAGCAGCAACAACAGCACAACAGCAGCAGCAATAACAGCAGCAACAACAGCAGCAATAACAACAGCAGCAGCACCAGCACTGAGCAGCAACAGCAGCAGCACCAGCACCGGTACTATCAGCACCAACAATAGCAGCAGCAGCAGCACCGGCACTATCAGCACCAGCAATAGCAGCAGCAACAGTAGCACCAGAAACAGCAGCAGCAACAGCAGCATCACCAGCACCAGCAGCGAATATAACAGGAGCAGCAGCAGCACAGCAGCAGGCCGTGACGCAGGTGTGGTCAGTGAGTGCGTGAGATTGTGAAAGTGAGATGAAGAACTTCTCACTGCGCTCACACCAACAAGGACGTGCGCAAAACCGCCGAATATATCTTACACTATAACCATTTGTCTAACTGCAATACAGTGACAGATATTTTTCCCGCGTGTGGTCGCGATGTCCACATCAGATGCGATGCTAATAGTTTGAAAGTCCTTGATGTTCTATAAATAAACATCAGACTATTACTAGATGAGGCGTTAAGAGGTACAAGTTAAAATATTTGCAATTTTATTTTTTAATGTGATATTCAAGCCATGGCCCATAGGCCGTCATAACCGCGTAGCACCCTAAACAAGGTGTAAGGCAGAGGTTTATTTAACATACATACAACTACCAGCACACTCATGCTTGCAGACCATACAACTCTCAGTTAATTTGACAGAAAATGTTGTCGCACCTCAACAACGATGGACGCAAATCAAATAATGAAATATAAGACTTTCCGTGCACGAACAAAGATAGGCTTACGAAGTAAAGTCACAATAATTGTTTGACTCATTGTCAGCTCTGTATTGTAAACATATTCCTCTCAACTCCCATACTAACATAGTAATATAGTAAACGTAGTTTACAAATTAGAACGTGCAAACATTGATGAGCCTATATTACAATCATGTGTCTCACCCGGAATAACGAATATTTCGATTATTCGAAGACTACAAACAGAAAATGAGTGGGCCTTAAAGTTCCAATACGGACACACTTTCGGCCAGTGCACTGATATATACACCTTTTTGCCGGGACCAACGGGCAGGATGACCAACACAAGGACAAAAAGTGCATCGTTATTCAGACAAAATCTTACTCATTTTTCCCAGTGTTAAAGAGTGTAGGACCTACAACAAAAAGAAGTGCGCAGCGCAAGCATATCATAGCGATTCGGGGGAGGGGGTAATGGGACGGGGGCTGGGGGTTTATGGGGGTTGAGAGAAATTTACGGTTACGTGCGTCCTTGTGGGGGCGAGGGGACGGCCTTGCGGGGGGTAGAAGGGAGGGAGACAGCGTAGGAAGTGGGGGGAGTAGGGGGGGCAGGGGGAGGGAGGTAACACAATGACTATAAGAATTAGAAATAAATAGAAAAGTATGATGAAACTTATAAATCTGCATGAAAAGGTCTCTTTCTAATAGTGATTCAATTCTTGCATTTAATTGACAATTAATTTCAGTCGATTCATTCAATTTCAAATTAATTAATTTGAATTAATGAATGAAATAATTAATTTGAAATAATTAATTCAAATGAATTTCAGTCAATTCGATGGCAGGAACTGCACTAGTCTGGGCTGAGTTTGAGCTCGCAGATCAGTCACTAAATGCAATAGAATTAAACTTTACAGTACAAAGTTATGGCTCAATGTCGCAAAAGTTCATCTTGCACATCATAACGTTTTGAGTGCAAGATTAAACTATAGATTAAACTATGGGATTAAATTTGTCGAAAATTGCAATGTGAATAAAATTGTCTGATCAGGCCAGCGCATGTGTCAGACATGACCTCGCTGCAACATAAAATTATTTCACGTTTAACTTTTACTGGCAAGGATTCCATGAACAAGCAAATTGATGCAACACCTTCCAAAATATATCTGATTTTGATTCCGATGAATACTTTATTATTGGCTATTAGCGATGTGGAAAACAGGGCTGCGAGTTTGGTAATGAAAACCGCGAGCGTTAATTAATCAGTTCGTGGATGAGTGCACTATGAGAAATGAGCGAGATTTTGTCCAAATAAAGATGCCGATTTGCTCTTGTGTTGATCATCTTGACCCAGTTTGTTCAGACATAAGGGCGCTTCTGCAAAAAGTGTCACTATATGGACAATATGCCACATTTATTATTGGATACAGGATACACACATGTAGGATACACATGCGTGTATCCTACACCACACGGTTCTTATTACATGGGTGATAGGAGAACATCGTGATGCAGGGATGATCAGAGAACATCGTGATGCAGGGGGTGATCAGAGAACATCGTGATGCAGGGGTGATCAGAGAACATCGTGATGCAGGGGGTGATGAGAGAACATCGTGATGCAGGAAATGATCGGAGAACATCGAGGAACAATCTAACAAGATGGCAGGACACATCATCAATAACAGGCTTATGGGACACATCAAACAAGCTTGTTAAAGAAGATAGGAGGATACAGCAAAAAGGATGGAGGTGGTATGGATCTTGGATTAAAGAACCATTCTCTTAATTGACGAGGGAGAATTACATCAAGCAAGCTAAGTAATCGCAGCAAACCTCAGCGTTAATGAGGCACTGCAATAAAGCAGACCAAGTGACCTATAAACTTTGCATCGGTCAAGTTCCTTAAAAGCTAACACTAGCCGCTGACAATAGGGCTTTGTTGGCACCAATAGCGGTCAAATGAACCACCGCAAACGCCCCATACAAAAAAATACGATAACGTCCCCATCACATTGAACGCTTAAGAATAATTAGTAAGATATACGGCATGCATACCACGTGTTCACATAGTCAAGCCCTAACTTTATTTTAAAGCATAAGTAAAAGCCCGTCATATACGTAGTAAGTATTGTTGCTGACACGGCCTGTCGCTTATTCCGGTGCTGCTGCGCGGCCTTCACAAAGCAGTCATTTTTTCGCACATTAGGAACATCATTCTGAATACACTACGCAAACATAAAGAATTATAAAATTAAAAGTCAGCCAAAATGTCAACATAAGTCAATAATGATTCATTATAACATAATTAAAATGCTGCTAATGCAGCATTCAAAACTAATATCAATGTCCAATTATTACTCCCGACAAAAAAAAGTCCCTTTTACAACGAATAGAAAATCAGTAACAAGAGTCATCACCACTTCGGAGAATCAAAAGTTCAAGAGAAATTCGAGACCCAGAGCAAAGCATGACGCTAATTTCGTCGAGTGTAGCAGTGAGTGTACGTGACGTCACGATGACGTCACGCTCGCAGCTGATCATGACGTCACCGCAGCGCAGCGGCCAATAGCGAGGCAAGATGCGCGCGGCCTTGGCGAGGTGTAGGCTTACCTACAAACAACGTCTGCGGATTCTTACTTGCAAATTGCAACGATCACGCAAGCGGTTCCTAGGAATAATGAAGCTAATTGATTACGAGAACAAGACATAGGTATATGAATGTCGGAATCGTATTACAGTAAATTTAGCCAGCATCAT